ATAAAATTGAAATTTGAAATTTAACAGAAATCCTTATAAACTAAACTGGCCTAGGGGTACTGCCAAAGCCAAAAACATACAAAAAAAAACTATAGCTACAACAAGGAGCCTAGAAAGATAGTGTTTCCTTGGAGCAACCGATGCTGAAGAAAATATCGAAGGATGGCTTTTGCAGGAGAAGAAAGCTGCTAGGATAGCGAGTTTTTTTTTTCTTTTTTTTTACTAATACACTAAAATCTAAACTACTCGCGATTGCACGAAACACGTAATTTCTATGTAGTGACGGTGTTATTATAGGCATTACTCAAGAGAATGGAGTTTGCGGCACGAGCCCCATGCAATTATCGTATATCATAGAAATGAGTAATAGCCAATGAGAGATTAACCGCAATAAGTGTAAAGTCGGCGTAATTAACTTTTATTACGATTTATCCAATGCACTACAACTTACGGAATCGAGTGCTATAAATTTCGGATGCTCCCACGGATGATTTAGTTTTGAGTTCTCTGCCTTCATTCTTTAGCAATAGCATTAGCCGTTAAAGGTTTAAATGGAAGTTGTTGCAACAACGGAGCTATAATCGTGAATCAGTTGAATGTAACAATTACACTTCGATCGTATCGAAAAGTAGTATATAATCAAACGTTCTATCAAGGAGTCAACGAAATATAAAAAAATTACCTTTGAATTAAGACCGTAGCGGCCCACTGAATTCAGAAGGCCGTGTTCGTGTAACAGAAAACAACACAACAAACACATAAAAGAGGTAGTGAATAGTGAGGCATATAAAATATTGCAAACTAGCAATGCTAACGTCTGACACGGGGGGAATCGGATATTAAAACTGTAATTAATTCTCAAAAAGAATCAATAATTCGAATCTCTTTACACTAGCAAAAGCAAAATGTTGATTGACCACGGATTATCTTTCCAATTGTGTATAACAGCATAAACGTGATGTTAAATATTTTACGATGCACGAATAACTAAATTTCTATTCAATAGCAGTGTTATCTAATTAGTTCAAAATGTCAACAAGCTAATATGAGCAAATTCTTCAGAATAAACAAACAACGTAACCAAAAAATTGCAGAGGGCTTCGGACAAAGCCTCGGTAACTTCAAAACTAATTCACAAAGCAACGGTACTAATATCCGTATAACACAGCTAATCTGAATGATTATCTGAAGGATGTAATCGAACTAACAGAATTAATCTTCGTAACAATCAATATGTAACATAAGAAAATCGGGTGTCGATATCAGCAAAATCAAATTTTCGGCAACGGCAAAAACAAAGTGTATTATCAGATATAACGGAGCGATCTAAAAGGTCGTTAATCTCCAAAGTGGTTTCATCAATACTTGTAGTTATGGGAACTATCTTGAAATCTCCAGTTATAAACTTGAAGTAGGTCAATGTTGGTAGAGTCAGCTGTTTAGTTTCACTGAAATGGCGCGTAATTCTGCCAAGTCGGTAATGTAGAAACATCCGTCGCGTCGTTCGCCCACATCAATCTTACGGGCCTAGGTAAAACTGCAATATCACTCACCTACTACGTAGGTCGTAAGTAAAATCTAGGTAAATCAACGTAAAAGGTAATCCAAACTTAAGAGAAACAAGGAAAAAACTTTGAGGGTTGAGTATTGAGTGAAGGTAAAAGCCCTAAACAAACATCCGTAATGAGAACAATTCTGCGTAATTATTTGACATATTCCGTAAATCCGTAAAACGCTCCAATGGAGCCACCACAGACATCAGAAGAAAGAGAAGCCACTCCAAAGATAATATAGTAAAGCCAAAACACTAATTCCTTAAGCAGATAGACACGTAGTTAGAAAACTAATGGCGTACCAACAGAAAACCAATTTGCATATAATCAAGGCAAACACAGAAACTTCACTGAAGAGCAAATGAAAGGGAAAAGGGATAGCATTTTAAGTGCAGAAAGGTGCACAATAGCAACAAGACAAAGAAGTAAAATAAACCTCCAACATTAGAAGGGCCTCTAACGGCACAACAAAGAACTACAGATAATAAGAATTTTACTACAGGATTTAACTTACATCTAAAACTAGTGGATTACAAAGAAGATAGCGTAAGAATATGAATAAACGCAAGAATACTAAATTTAAACGAGAGTCTGCTTCGAATGTTAAACGAATTAAGAAAAACGTTCAAGCATGAAAAAATGTTGCAATCTACCACCAAGATTGTTACCTCGCATTCTTCACATACCCCTCCAGTTAGTACAGACTGCCAGTTTTCCTTCGAGGAGATCATGGACCAAATTATAGGGGAACGCCAAAATAAACTCAGCGTCAGAAAGAAATTGATTGAGAAATATGGGGACGGCATAATCATCGCTCAAACTCAGAAAAGAACACCAGTTGTGTTGTTCAGAGGAAGGGGAGACAAATTCCTAAGTGAGGGATGGTGCACCTCGAAAAAATCAACACCTGAAGCGGAACGAATGCGGATAGTACAGGCTGCAGTAGCTATAATAAAAGAAGATATACACAGATCCCTCATAAGATCACCCTTCGTCCATTTATTTAGTGCAATACATTTTTCAGATGTGTGGTGATGTAATTAATATTTCTGTCTAACGGGTCGCCTTTGGAATTTCCAAGTTAAGTACGATTTCCCATGTAAACAAAAATTCCAAAGGTGACTCGACAGCAACTCATTTTTGATCGCATAGTACTCTTATCACCTGGAGAGAGGGCATGCGCACTCTCTTACAACCATGAGCAGCTGTTACACTGCGTCCTTCTCTTTCAGACGGAAGAGTACAGTTCGGTTGTCGCAATTTTAAGTAGCGCGCGAGAGAGAAACGTGTATTGTTCCGTGTGAAAGAGAAGGGTAATTTTTTTAGGCAACCCATTTGCAATGTCTTTGTTTTCATATCAACATTGCTAAAAAATGTATCTCACTAGGTAAACAAGATCTTGTACTACTCAACAAAATTTGAAAAGACAATCAACGCATTTTCATGCAAAGAATTGAACCCGAACCCCCCGGTTGCAAATAGCGTTTCCTTGCCCCTAAACCATTACGGCACACATTCAATCATTCGCATTCAGAAATAGTTGTGAGGCAGGGTCAATTTTCCCATGCACGCGGACGCGTCTCCTGTTTACAAATATGCGCGCGGGCAGGGGGTTGAGCAGCCCTGATCTAATACTTATGTGAGTGGGCTTTTATATGGAACGCTGAATCAATTAATTCCAATGTGGTTTTCCTCGAAACGTTTTTCAATGGCGTGAGTTTTCTTGAATGCGAATTTTTCCTTGCAGTCAAGACAGGTATTCGCGAAATGGTCCAAAAGTTACCAAAGAGAATTTGTCAGGAATGGGGGGTGAATATTCCAATCAACTCACCGGGTAATAACTTCTTAACGCGCGCTGTCAAACTAATTAGTATTAGACGGTACCTAAAATTTCCACGGCCTTCTCAAAATTGTGTTGCTCATACCTTATTAAATAACTATAAAGGATATTTCTCATTTTCCAATATCTTCTCAGCTTTCAGGACCATTCGAAGGAGCAAATTTCGGCGTAATTCAATAAATATCGATTTTATTGCCAAAAAGGCATTTGCTATTTTCGAATCGCTTCCAAATGCTTTTTAGACAATTTAAAAAAGCACTGGAACTATTTCTGGGGCTGTTGAACTTGCAAACGTTGTTCGCTGATGATGACTGCCGTGCTGTTGAAACGCGTTCCAGGTTTTAATATGATATTGCGCTTTTTTGGTGTTTTTCTACCTGAGGGAATTTGTTCAGAGAATATTCCGGAGATGTTTCAAGAACAAAGTAAATTTATCTGTAAGGTAGCCACTTATTGGATTTATCTGGAGATTATTCGCTTTGCGGATTTTTCGAGAGCTCCAAGACTGAACTTCCAGATGTAAATGTCAGTTTTTCATCTACATTTCAACACTAAGAGCTCTGGCTTTTCGACTCCATCTAAATAAAGTATAGTCAATTTCAATTTCCAGAGTCCTTAAAAGCAGTGCAGTAACATAAAATACTTACCGAGTTGATATTCGGTACCTTTTCCATCTGTTCTCGAACTTTTGTGTAAATAATGATATGACTTATTCAAATGGCAGGTTTAAGTCTAAAGATTTAAAACTCCGTTACCTCGCGTAAGCAAAATGAAAAATTGAATCAATAAACCTAAGATGGCAGCAGTAAAAAATGAGATGCGGAAATGTGAACAAATGGCAGTAGAAAGAAAGCCCACGCGCTTAATGGATGAATGCGGTTTTTGCGTATAATGTCAGTCATATAGATATTGCCGTTCCCCCATCTTCATCATTATCCCGAAAGTAGAGCGCGCCGCATTTGCAAGTTGATTGTCTATAATAAAAGTAACAAACAAACTATCCACTTTCGTTCTTACCATAAAGAAGTAAATGGAGCAATAAAAAATAGAGCGTGCAGCATTAAACGTGGATTTTACAATAGAACTGAAGTGTGCTCTTTAGAGGGAAACGGCCTTAATTTTATAAAACTTCAACTCCTGGGGTAAAATTTTCTAGACCAATAACAGAATAAGCTTTCCTACGATGGAGAGATGGGAAAGGAATTCCCAGCCAAATTGAATGCGCTTTTCAAAGAAGCGCCAGGTAACCAGTGATAATACCTCATAACAGGAGGCGAAATCAAAAGGCAACTTTAAGAGCATTGAAAAGTGTAAAGGTGTTCCAGTGTCTTCAAAACTTTACAAGTCAAATTGGATCACTCTAAAACTCTGTAGTTGCTCTACAACAAAAGCATTGATCCATCAAAGTGAATTGGGCATTAAACGGAATTTCAAATATTAATACGCTAAAATTTATTTAACGAAGTGAATAATTCGAAATGAATCTGGAAGCGGCAATGTTTTTGTTAATAATTACAAAATTAATACAATTTCAAATTAGAGCTTAATTAAAATGGTTATTCAACAGCGTCATTGAAATGTTAATTTAGTAATTAATGCCGTTATTAATGTTTTTACGACCGTGCCTTTTTGTTCCAGGTTCACTCGCATTGAGGGACGTCAAATTAACGATACCGGCGGCAGTCGAGAGAGGAAAACAAGCGAAATTACATTGTAATTATGACATGGAAGGTGAACCGCTGTACGCTGTTAAATGGTACAAAAGCGATAGGGAATTTTTTCGATATACGCCCTTAGATTCGCCGCCGTATAAACAATTTGTTACCCCATACGTTAACGTCGTTCGGAATCTTTCAAATGGGTCGTTTGTTGTATTAGATAATGTAGCGATAGAGACTAGTGGGAAGTATAGCTGTGAAATTTCTGCGGATGCACCATCGTTTTTTACTATAGACGCTTTTGGACTGTTACAGGTAAGTGTACTCGCTTTACTATAGGAACTCCATTTTAAACCAATTCTATATTCAGTCTACGTTTCCACATTGACAAATTCAGGTTCCGATGAAAAATTAAATTTTTGGAATTGAAACTCGAATTTGATCTAATTTGAACATTACAATTTCGTTGGGCTAAAAGCTAAACCCTTCCCAATGCATATGAGAATAATCAATAAAGCATCACTAAAACATTTTCCCGTGACATACAAATGGACTTCGGAATCGGCAAATGTAAAACACTACACATTACAGGTGGTAAAACAACTTTTGAGTTCGAACAATGTAATTTTATAGATTTGGACAACTATGAAACTTAGGTTCAGTATCTTGGTTTTCAGCAAAACGCATCCAAAATTACATAGATCACAAATAACATACAGACATCGAACCAAAAGCCTTTCATGTTTACATGATAACTATAACGGTGAATTTGCTCAAACCCGCCGCTAATCGGCCAACTAGCTCAGGGGTGACTATTAATCGGGGTAACCTTGAACACTCAAGGGTCATTAGGTATCGTTCGGTCTCTGCGGGCACTGGATTCCGTTCCTCTCATCTAATAATTAGGAATGCTAGAGCAAAGCAGTAAGGGCGCCACCTTATTACCTGGAATATTATACACTGACTGTTACCGGAATAAGGAAGTGTAACAGTAGCGGCACAACAATAATATAATCAGTGAGTACCTGACCACCCAAAAATCAAAAATTTATTCAGTAAGGTACACCAAATTCAAGAAAAAATCTTAACGCATGAATATGCACTACTAAAAACAATATACATTTACTAATCTCTTCCCCTAAATTGAATTCCCCCAAAAACTTTACTTAATTGAACATTAATCCCACAAATTAGTGAACGATAACTCGATCACACCCGACGGCATGAAACTTAACGTTATTAACCCCAAAACGAGGTGGCGAACACACAAGTATATAAAGAGAAGGTATTATTCTTACCTGGAGTTCCGAAGGCATTCGTGGAGTGAGCTCATCCCAAGAATGTTCAACCTAGTAGCTATAATAAAGAATAAAAGGACAAATTAACCGAGAATGCCTCGGTGAATCAAAAATGCTACAGTGAGGTACTTAACGGTGCCTGAGGGCTTACCACTTGCGGTACTTCCCACGATCGTAATAGGACAAACCAATATTAAATCATGTCTCCGAAGGAGATCTCAAATGCAAAAACAATAATCAGAGCCAATTATGTAGGCATTAATCGAAAGATCGTTAACCAGAATTACGATTACAATTAAATTTAAAATAGTGAAAATTTCCCCAAAACTGGTCAGATAATTGATATAGGCTAAGTAATTGTGTCGACGGTGATAAGCTCAGATATAGGTCATGTATTCTATCTCATGGTTCCAAACGGCTGATTACTGCTGAATGTGTATTCAGATGAAGGCATCTGTTGGTAATAATTCAAAATGGACGTCCCTCCGGTGACATATGTTAATGTGCAAATTTACACGGGATACAAGGACCCTAAAAAGCGATTGTTTAAAACGGTGCATTTTAGTACGCATAACCCTCTTTACCTCTTATTAAAGAAGGTCTATTGGAAAGATTGACGTTGTATGATAATTAATAACGATCAGGAAGATACGGTCACTAAAAATGAACATTATAATGGCCGAGATATTAATCCCGTATATCTACTTACATAGTTTCGCTGGTAATTCGTTTAAAAGCCTCTCAAAAGAGTTCACTACGATATTGATTAACCAAAAAAAAACTATCAATCCATAGTTTAATAAGATGATTCCGTGAAAGGTAATACTTCAATAGATGACGGAAACCAATCTTTTACGACATTACACCAGCGAACTAATATTCAACCGACACTTTTGCGTCTTCCCAAAACGAGCAACGAAAAGAAAGTAAGACACGCACGAATTTTCCTCGCCCCGCCAATCGCGCAGGTACCAATCCCGAAACCCACAATCGTCAAAACTAACAATTGAAGGTTACATCGCATTCTCCCCCGCCAGTGCCGTAACAAGGGAAATTCGTACTGACTAACTTAGAATAATTACAACGTTACATAACATTACCATACTTAAAAGGCAAACCGTTGACACATGGTTCTTGTTTGCTCTACCCACACACATCACCAAATACACCATACTACAAATACACTTCACAGATAATACTTAAAAACCACACATACATGATATTGCGATAGGATACTGGTCACAGACAAAACTGTGCCCAATAAAAGACCAGACATTGCACTTATAGATAAATATCTATTTACAAAAGAGACATTGCAATTCCCAACACTAACAATTTGACAGTGACAGCTTTGTAGGTAATGTTTATGTAAACTTATAACAAATAGAACTAAACCAAACTTGACAATAGGAATTACATCCAGTCCTTCAGGCGCGTATCAATAATGCAACCCAAAAGAGGAAATTTCTGTAACATATTTGTCGCATTTAACGCTTTTTAAGGAGAAGGGCATGACCACAGTCTTGGGCTTGTTAAGTGTCAATTTTTAATTAACTTTTTTCTCTCAGTGCATTGTTGTGTAAACTACATGGGAGGCGTGGGAATATGTTCTAAATGAACATATAGACACACAGTTGGAAAAAATTGCTGAATTGTTATTTTAATGTTAGTTTTTTATTGTAATTTTATCCGGTATTCATTTAATTCATTTAATTCTATTTGTTGTATTAAGGTTGTATGAAAAATTGCAAACGGGTAACTAACGGAAAATAGATTTTTACGTGAGTAAAGTTTTTATCTGGTCAGGTGTTGATAAAAAAATGTTATCGGACAATAATTAATTGCTTTTTCGACTAACAACGTCACGCGCTAGATAAGCGGCGCAGGTGTTTTACCGGTTCTGGGGACGGAGAAGAATTTCGAGTGGTCCTGGCCAATTTATTGAATTATTATTAACAGAACTGTAAGTAATTTTTGAGATTTCTTAATATCTATAAATTAGTTCATGTGTCAATTTAAATCCAGATAGTTTAATTTTTCTGTCAGATTTTTGTAATTTGTATAATTTGTGTAATTTGAGCTAGGTAAGTGTCTGTTGGGTGACCGCATACCATTTGCACACAGCATTTGGCGCCCAACGTGGGGCAGTATTTTGTTGTTAGTATTAGTACTTACGGCCATCCACATTTGGTGAGGTATTTTGTTATTCAATTACATCTTATTCCACACGTCGTTTTTTCGCGCCTCCTTCAACCCAACATAATTTTCCTTAAACCGATGATTTCACACGTAAAGAATGGATACGACTCCATTATGCTCGGCGAAAATACACCGTGATCTGACAATCCCATATTATAAAACAACCTTGAGGTCGACATTCAATATTTATTAGTCAGATTTCGGGACGCACATACTGAAGAGGCTGAGAGGGCCGAATGTCCGAGCTATTGAGGCGGGCAAGTCCCTAACGCAGACGGTAATGATTCAATAGAGTAAGAAGAGGAAAGAAGTAAAAGTAAAAGGATAGTGGAGACTGAGCGAAAGGAGAGAGAGAGCGTAACTGAAAAAGGGGGAGAGAGCGAATTGATGAGAGGGGAAGCGGAAAACATAGGAGTAATAGAAAACTTGATGGAAGGCGTATAGGAAGAAATAAGAAGGGCGGCTAATGAGACAAAAGGGCAAATGGGAAAAATGGAGAAGAAGATAGGAGAATTAAGAGAGGAAATGAAGAAAAGGGAAGAACAATGGAATAAGAAACAAGAACTGACGGAAATGATAACAAAACTAGATGAAATGAACAATATAACTATAAGAGGGGCAAACATGAAAAAAGCCAAAAGTAGAGTGGAACGTAAAAGACGCGAGAACAATTGAAGTAACGTGGGAAAAGTAGAGCGACATTATGAGGGGTAACAGGAAGTTAAAGGGAAGCACTATATACATAGATAACGAGTTGATTTATAAGGAAAGGGTACAGAGAGAAATTAGAGAGGTGACGAAGAGAGAAAGTGAAAGGACAAGAAAGTAAGACGGGATAGACGGTTAGTGGTGGAAGGCCATGAATACAGATGGTGTCACAAAGAAAAAGGAATATTGAGAACAGAGGGGGAAAAACCGGGAGAGGAGAACGCGGGGTTGGAGGGGAAATTAACAGTAAAAGAGATGGCAGAGGAAAGCGGGGAGAGTGGGGGGAACAGAAACGACCAACAAAATAAACGAAATAAAAATTGAGATGATTATTATAAAGTTGATGTTCTGAAGTCTGGCGGGGGTAGCAAACAAAGACGTATAATTCAGGAAGTATGTCAGAGGATACGATGTTGTGGGGATTGGGGGATCATGGAAAAGAAAAAAATAACTGGGAGAAAATAAAGAATACAATACATGTAGAAGAATCAATTCGCGTAGAAGGATAACATAAAGGGAAGAGCAAAAGGAGGCATATTAACAGGAGTAACAAAGTCGATCAGGGAATGGGGAGAGGAAGCGAAAGATCAAGAGGGCATACAGGAAATACGAGTGGAAGTGGAAAAGACGAGAATGTGCAACTGAGAAGGAATGAAAGAGTTATAGAATAAAATAGAAAATATGGTAGATGAAATGGAGGAGTATTAAAAAGGAAGTAACATGGAAACAGGTAAAAGAAGGCCAAAGGAGAAACAAAAGAGATGAATGGTGGGACAGAAAGTGTACATGAGAGAGAACCAGATACAGAACAATGATTAAAAACAGAAAAAAAGTACAAAAGAAAATTTAAGTAAGAAAAGATGAAGAATACGAAGAAGAAATCAGTGTAGAAACAGAGAAGGACTTTTGGGCGATGATAAACCGAAAAAAAACTAACAAACATAAGTGGGAGATAAATACAAATAGACGACCGGAAACAGTACTTCATTATTACTATAATTACTGTAGTACAAGGGAAGCATGGGAAAGAGGGCGAGGAAGGTAAGAGTGGAAGAGGACGAGGTATCAAGAGAAAAGATTGAGCAGCAATAAAATTCTACTCTAGATAGA